TATATCTTCTATGACCTTAATGTAGGTGCTGTTCATGTGATACCCAAGAAATGTCAATGAGAGAGTAAATAATGAGGAATAAGATGTTGTTGGCTAAATTGTGTTTTGGAGAGCCACAAACAATTCCAGTATCTAAGATTTTCTCACTCCACCCCTGTCCAACACCAGTTTTCATCCCCTGGGAGGCAGTATCACCCTGATTGAGAATACATGGTCTAAAATGATATATTATAAAGAGGTTAATTCTCCAAACATGGATATTTGATATATAAATCAAAATATAAATTAAATATGATGCCAATAAAAATACTAACAAGTACAGTGATACACAAATGAAATTTAAATTCATTAAGCAGGAAATTTAAAAAGCAAAAATAGCTAGGAAATGCCTAGAAAATGAAGAAAACAGAGATTTAAAAAATACTATAAAGTCTCTATCACTAAAATACTGACTACTGGCACCTGAATAGACACAGTTTAATGGAATAGTAAAACCTCTGATCTCTAGGGAAAGAGATTATTTAATCAATGTTATTGAAAAAAGTAAAACTGGATCCACATTTTATACCACATACCAGGATTAACTCCAAATGGATAAAAGATCTAAATATGAAAAAGTAAAAATCATAAAAATGCCAGTCTTAATTCATTTGGACTGCTATAACAAAATACCACAGACCAGTCAGCTTATAAAGAATAGAAATTTATTTCTTACAGCTCTGGAGGCTTGTAGTCCAAGATCAGGGAGTCAGGTTTACCAAATGAGGGTCCTCTTCCTGGTCACAATCTTATTGTACCCTCACTGGGCTTCTTTTATAAGGGCACTGATCTCATTTATGAGGAATCTACCCTTATGATCTCATTACCTCCCAAAGGCTCCACCTCGAAATACTGTCATTTTCGGCACAAAGATTTCAACATACAAATTTTTTGGAAGGGTCAAACATTCAGGCCACAGGCATGTTAAAAGAAAAAAAAATGGTTGAGTTCTTTTTAAGTTGAGAGGAGAAAAGCCTTTCTATTTCTTACAATCAAATGAATACATTTTACTATATTTAAAAATCGCATCAAGAAAAGAATACAAACACAAATAACAAATTGGGAGAAGATATCTGCAACTTAAATAAAAAAGAGTGACTCTTCCTATGACCAAAAGAGTTTACTTTAAAAACCAAGAGAAAGATTAAAAATCATTATTAATAAGAACAAAACCGGGATCCCTGGGTGGCGCAGCGGTTTGGCGCCTTTGGCCCAGGGCGCGATCCTGGAGACCCGGGATCGAATCCCACATCGGGCTCCCGGTGCATGGAGCCTGCTTCTCCCTCTGCCTGTGTCTCTGCCTCTCTCTCTCTCTCACTGTGTGCCTATCATGAATAAAAAAAATAAAAAATAAAAAAAATTTAAAACACCTAAAAAAAAAAAAAGAACAAAACAAAGACAATTCATAAAAAAAGAAAAGCTCAATGGACCATTAAACATCTGAAAAGTGTTCAACTTCATTTATATAAAAGAAACCTAAACTGAAACTAAATTGAGAAGACCTCTAATTCCAATGATGATTAAGAAGAGCCTTATGAACCGGACGCCTGGGTGGCTCAGTGGTTGAACCTTTGGCTCAAGTTGTGATCCTGGAGTTCTTGGATCGAGTCCCACATCAGGCTCCCTGTGAGGAGCCTGCTTCTCCCTCTGCCTAGGTCTCTGCCTCTCTCTACGTGTCTCTCATGAATAAATAAAATCTTTTAAAAAAGCCTTATGAACTAACTTTCTTACAGAAAGTACTATCAAACGTAGGCAGTACAAAACGCAATGGAACTGAAGGTACTGGGGAATGAACCGAAGCACTTTACTTGCCAAAAACTTGTAACCTCGGGTACATGGGCGGCTCAGTCAGTTAAGCATCTGCCTTCAGCTCAGGTCATGATCTCAGGTCCTGGGATGGAGCCCTATGTTGGATTCCCTGCTCAGTGGGGAGTCTGTTTCTTCTCTCTCTCTGCCTCTGCCCCTCACTTGTGCTCTCTCTCTCAAATAAATAAAATCCTTTTTTAAAAAATCATAACCTGAATCCAATTAGGAGGAAACATCGAAGACATGCAAATTGAAGACAACCTGCAAAATAACTGGCCTGTACTCTTCATAAATGTCAAGATAATGAAGGATCCAAAAAAGGCCCAGGAATTGTTTCAGATTAAAGAAGACTAAAGAGTTGTGATAACTGAATAAATGTGTGATCCTAGATATGATTCTGGAATAGATCTCAGATCAGAGGAAAGACAGTTATATAGGACAGTACTGGGACAACTGTATAGAAATTTATTAACTTCTATGAATTCTGAATTAATAATTATTATGTCTGTTATATATCCATAGGCAATGAATACTCCTAATATCCAATGTTGTCTCTATATGCCAAGCCCCATAAGAGGAACTGGAACTCCATAGAGAAATGGCTCACTTCAGGTCTGGCACAGAAAATGTACAAGGTGAACTTGGGACAACTTGTGCCAGAAAGCAAATAAGCTATCTATCCGTTCTTATACAATTGTGTCAAAAGACAGGAGCTGACCAGAAAGGACTCCCACTGGTTAAACAGAGGGCAGTTGGAGATAAAAAATAAAAAGGATTACAATGGTTTGAAACATATTAAATGTATCTCAAAAACCCATGAGTTACATATGGACTCACTTTTGAGACTCCTTAGAAGGTTGGAAGACACCAACTCATTTCTCTGAAAACTAACCCATAAAGGGAAAGAATCAAATCGACTTTTGTCTTCCTAGGTGAACTGAATTTTCAGATAACCGAAACAGCTGATGTAGAAAAGTTCTTATTTATAGAACTTGAACTAAAAAATGCAGAAGGAAGTGAGATAATTTTTTAAATCACTGTATGTAGGCACACAGCTTCTACTTTACTGTCTTGCCCACTGCCCCCTTGTGGTGCATCCAATAAACCCGTTTCCTTTTAAAAAAAATAGGTCACTATGTGTAACCCTTAATGAAATTATAGATTTCACCATCAACCATAAATTGATATTATAACCTTTAGGTGTTTCTTAACCTTTTTTTTCATTATTAGCTCCCAAAGAGTCTTTTTTGACACCACGTTTTTCCCTATCACCATCCAACTATGAAATTTTAATACCATAGATATACTGTATCTATGTGTTTATGTACTGTGTGGCCTCAAGGGCCACAAAACATTGTAGTATCTTAAGAGTTTAATCCCCTTGCTGGGCAGAGGGGTGAGGATGCCATACCTTCCTCTATTCATAGGTAAAAAAGGAAGGGGGACTTTATTTATTTTTAAGATTTTATTTACTTATTCATGAGACACACAGAGAGAGGCAGAGACACAGGCAGAGGGAGAAGCAGGCTGCCTGCAGGAGCCTGATGTGGAACTTGATCCCAGAGTCCAGGATCACCACCTGAGACAAAGGCAGACGCTCTACCACTGAGCCACCCAGGATGGGGGGGACTTTATAAAAGGATTAAGTGGACAGCACTTGAATACTGATCAATATGGCATCACCAGAAGTGGGACATCAGACTTTAAAAGCCTCAGGACATGATGAATAGAAGTACACAGTACCAACTATGAATTACTTTTGCTTGAAAATGTGATTTATACAAAATAAGATCTGACTTTGATCAAGCCTCTAGAGCTAACCACTCATCTACAGAAATATGGGGCATTGGGAACAAATTATATGGCACCACAAGGAAGCAATTAGCCAAAAAGTGGAACGGAGAATATTCTGTAAATAACTAGTTTTTTGTTTTGTTTTGTTTTACAAATCAGTGATACCAGTTAAAGCAAAACAAAAGCAAAAAATGGAACGGAAACTGTTGTAGATTAAAGCACTGTGCACTGTGTAGACCTTATCTGGACCATGATTTGAACAAACCAATTGTAAAAACCTATCTTTGAAAGAACTGGGGAAACCTGAATAAGTACTGCGTATCTAATATTATGGAATTACTGTTAGGTTTTAAAGTCGGGATAACATCATGGTAATTATCTAAAAATGATGTTCTTTTTGGCTATATATGCATACATATGGATAAAATTATATAATTCTTGAAATGCTACGGGGAAAAAAGGAGGAAGGATAGATATAAGGATATTTGCAAATGTTTTAAATTATAGCTGGGTGTTGAGCACATTGGGGTTCATATTATTTTCTTCTATGTTTGAAAACTTCCATAATAAAGTTAAATTAAAAATCTTCAAATCTGGAGTGTCTGGGTGGCTCAATAGATGAGCATCTGCCTTTGGCTCAGCTCATGATTCCAGGGTCCTGGGATCCAGTCCCCCATCGGGCTACCTGTAGAGAGCCTGCTTCTTTCTCCGCCTGTGTCTCTGCCTCTCTGTGTCTCTCATGAATAAATAAAATCATTTTTAAAAAGATCTTCAAATATCCTCCAGAGGGTATAGTTCTCTCTCATCAAAAATCAGTCCAGAAAGGGCTGCTTTGTCATTGGGTGGAACGGAGAGGTGTAGCGTGGTTAGAGAATGTAGTTAGCTTAGTGAGCTCATCCCTGCGGTGCCATCATTTACAGGGACAGCTGGGTCAAGGACCAGGCACCTGGCTGGTTTCTCAAGATGTTTCAGGAGGCAGCAACATCTCGAAAAGTCAGAAACTTGAGGGAAGAAAGAAAATGACAACTTATTTTAGGCAAGCTTTTTAGACATCCTGTTGCCTTTCCTGCTGGGCTCTGTTGGAAAAAAAGAACGGAGAAAATAATCATAGGCTATCAAGCCCTTTTCAGAGCCGACAAAACAACTGAGGATCATCTCCCACAACAACTTCAAGCTAGATGGTTTTCCCCACAGGGCCCTCAAAGTAGAATGGGGCATCCTATTATGGTGGTCTTCTCCCTTCTTAGGGCACTTGCAGGTGTAAATCCTCATTTATAAGGGCAGCTTCACAAATAGGCTCGTTCTCTGCACAGTAAAATGAAGGAATTACAGCAGCTGGACCCGCGCGATTCTCAACGGACTGTGTCCCTGTCACACAGCGGGGTACACAGGTGCCAAGGATCCCAGCCGCCAAAAGCACTGGAAGACGGCAGATGGGCCCATCGCGCCGCCAGAGAAGCGGACACACACCCATCCCACGCGGTAGAACGTTCGGGATGACCTATTTCCGACCCCGTCCTCCCGGAACCAAAGTCACGGTGCCGAGTTTGCCAGAGGAGAGGGGTGCCAACTGCACTGCACTCCGCCGACGCGGGGGAACCAGACGAATGGCGCCACGCCCCTGCCACTCGGAACCGAAGTGACGGTAGCCGATATTGCCGGCGGAGAAGGGCACAGCCACCCCGCCACGGCAAGGCCGACTTCCGTAAGGAATTAACCGTAAGGAGCGCTACGACTCAGGAGAAACGCAGTCCGGAGCCGGGATCGTCCCGACTCCTGTCAGCACCGAGCTCCAGCGGGCATACCGGTATTCCCAGCGCCACATGGGCACTTCCTTCTGGGCGCTCCACAAACCAAACGCAGCGTGCAGGTCCCAGTGGGGCGGTCCACTCACCTGGCCGCTGCAGACTGGATCCTTGCGTCGAGACGTAACGGAATAAGTGTACGAAATGGCGCGGGGACGCGGTGGCCTCCGGGAAATGTAGTCCAAAAGTGTGCACCCAGCCCCACCAGCTCCATCCCACAGAATGCAAGAGGCAGTGGCCAACATTCTGCGGCCTGGCCGAAATCGGGAGCGGCTCACGAAAGTGTGAGCCGACTTATTTCGTTTTACTCAAGTGACTCCCCCCAGAAAATCCCAAGGAGGTCACCTAGTTGGGTTACCAAGTTGGGTCTTGAAGTGATACCTTCAGAGAAATGTAGTCCAGGGCTGAGAAAGCTGCAGAAGGCCAGGGGGTAGGGTGCGGGTTTCTCAGACAGGAGCCCTGGCTCAGACCCAGTACTTGTGACTACCAGGTTTCTGCCCCAAGAGGCATCGGCGTTTGACGCTTACTTCAAGGACGCGTGTTTGTACCCAAGTGTCCCCTGCAGGGGACGCGAGGACTATGGGAGAGTGTGGTGTGAGTCAGGTTGTGTTTGAGACTATGAGGGGGATGTTCATGGATAAGCGTGTGATCCATTCGGGCTTATGTGAGAGTGTCTACGGACGGTGTGACTATAAGGGAGATGCCGGATTAATCAGGCGGTCTGCAACTAAGTATCTTAGAACTTATAACAAAGAAAATGCTTTTTTCTCTGTTTGCGTGGCTATGAATTTAGAATAGATTCCTATATAATTACGGATTTGTTAAATTAATGACATACTGAGAGTTCACCTGGAGCAGTGAATGCGGGAAAAGAAGTGTATGCAGCACCGTGTAATAGCGGTATTTCTAGGCTTCTATTTCCTCACCTGTAAATGAGGGTAACATTTATGTAACATTTTGGAGCACCGCTGTCCAATAGAACTTTCTGTAAAACTGGATTCCATGTTCTTTTTTTTCGAGATGTATGTATGTATGTATGTATGTATGTATGTATTCATTCATTCATTCATGAAAGACACACGCAGAGGGAGAAGCAGGCTCTCTGTAGGAGCCGGATGCAGAACTCTATCCCAGGACCCGGGGATCAGGCCCTGAGCCAAAGGCTGATGCTCAACCACTGAGCCACCTAAGTGCCCCTTGATTCCATGTTCTGTATCTGCACTCTCCACAACAGTAGCCACTAGCTGCGTGTGGCTCTTGAGCCTCTTAAATCTGGCTACTTTGAGAAATGAGTTTTAAATTTTGTTTATTTTTAATAAATTCCCATTTAAACAGCTATATGTGGCTACCTAAATTGGACAGAGCAGCCCGGATCATCAATTTTCTTTCAAAAAAACCAAAACAAGGGCAGCCCCGGTGGCGCAGCGGTTTGGCGCCGCCTGCAGCCTGGGGTGTGATCCTGGAGACCCGGGATCGAGTCCCACGTCGGGCTCCCTGCATGGAGCCTGCTTTTCCCTCTGCCTGTGTCTCTGCCTCTCTCTGTGTCTATGAATAAATAAATAAAATATTAAAAAAAAAACCAAAACAAAACAAAAATTTTCTTTCAAGATTTAGAGAGGGAGAAACAAATAATTTCATCTAGCAAATAATTTGAAAAAAATTAGGTTTATATTGAAATGAAGAGAGATGAAAAATGCAAATTCAGCCTTACTCTTTTTTTTTAGAGGAATAATTTACATGAAGAAATATATACATCTCCATGATTTTTGCATACACAGGCAATCACCACACACAGATCAAGATGGAGAACATTTATTTCCAGGATGCCAGAATGTTCCCCTGTAAACACTGACTTCACTTAGAAGTGACCGTTATTTGGACTTCTAGCACCATAGATTACTTTTATGTATTCTTGAACTTCATTTGAGTGCAGTCAGTGTAATGATACGTGTCTGGCATGTTTTTGTCAACATTAGGACTCTGAGATGAGTCCTTATTATTGATATAAGAAAAATTTCTTCAGCCACTTAGTAAATATTTTAGGTTTTGTGTGCCAGATGTTCTCTGTCACATGTCCTCAACTTTGCTATTCTAGCATGAAAGCAGCCATAGACAGTGTGGCTGTATTCCAATAAAACTTTATTTATGGACACTGACATTTAAATTTCATATAATTTTTACATATTGCTAAATACTACTCCTGCTTTTTATTTTTTCAACCACTTAAAAATGTAAAACCTGGGGCACCTGGGTGGCTCAGTGGTTGAGTGTCTGCCTTTAGCTCAGGTCGTGATCCCAGGGTAGTGGGATCAAGTCCTGTATCAGGGTCCCTGCAGGAAACCTGCTTCTCCCTCTGCCTACGTCTCTGCCTCTCTGTGTCTCTCATGAATAAATAAATCTTTAAAAAATTAAAAATTAAAAAACTAAAATGTAAACCTTTGTTAGGTCATTGACCATACCAAAACAGGTGACAGGTCTGCTGGCTGCAGTACTCTAAATCTTGCTACATTTTTCTATATTGATAGATATTTGTGTGGGTTTCCAGTTTTTTCTTATGAATAAATCTATGATAAATCTTACATATTTTGGTAGACATAGTATTCATTTCTATTAGGAATCCAAGAGATCATAAAATAAGTTTATATTTATCTGTGAAGATACTACCAAATCATTTTCCAAAGTCATTGTGTCAATTTGCACTTGTATCAGTAATGAATGTAAAGGGTTCCAGTTGCTCCATATACTTTTAAGTACTTGGTATTGCCAGTCTTTTTAATTTTTACAATACTAGTAGGTGGGTAGTGGTATCTCCAAGTGATTTTTAATTTGTATTTCCCTAATGAATGCTCATGTTAGCATCCTTTCACATGCCAGTCACTTGGATAACTGGGTAACATCTCTGTTGAACTGCCTGTTTAACTTTGACTACTTTACTAAAATCAGTTTGTAGTTTTTTTTCTATTTATTTGTAGGTTTTTGTACATACTAAGATATAAGATCTTTGCAGAATATGTGTATCGTAGATATCTTTTCCAGGCTATGGCTTGCCTTTTCACTCTGATAATGAAGTCTTTGAAGGACAGATGCTTTTAATTTAAGTGAAGTTCAATTTATTAATATTTTATTTATAGTTGATGCTTCATTCTATTTAATTTTAAAACTTTTGCCTACCTTAAGGACATGAAGGTATTCTATTTTTCTTCTAGAAGAATTATTGTTTCACCTTTCACATTTATAAGCACAGAGCTCAATGTAGGGCTCAATCCCACCACCCTGAGATCATGAACTGATCTGAAACCAAGAGTCAGACACTGAAGGCTGAGCCACTCAGGTGCCTCTAGACACATGTTCTTTCTTTCCTCCAGCCCCACTCCCTTCTTAACCCCTGCTAGCTACTAATCTGTTCTGTGCTTCCATAATTTTGAAATTTCAGAATGTTATTTTTTTCAAGTTTTTATTTAAACTCCAATTAGTTAATATACAATGTAATACTAGTTTCAGGAGTAGAATTTAGTGATTAATCAGTTACATATAACATCCAGTGCTCATAACCTGCCTTAATAACTATCACCCTTTTAACCAAATGTAATCATACAATATCTACATTTTTGGGATTGATTTTTTTCACTTAACTGACTTCTCTGGAGACTCATCCATGTTGTTGAATGTATCAGCCACTCATTAATTTTTTTGCTAAGTAGTATTCCATGGTATAGAACCACAGTTTGTCTAACCATCACCTGTTTTTTTTATTTTATTTTTTATTCATGAGAGACAGAGAGAGAGAGGGGGGGGGCAGAGACATAGGCAGAGGGAAAAGCAGACTCCATGCAGGGAGCCTGATGTGGGACTCGGTCCAGGACCCCAGGATCAGGCCCTGAACCAAAGGCAGACGCTTAACCGCTGAGCCACCCAAGCGTCCCTAATTATCACCTGTTTAAAGGCATCTAGGCTGTTAACCATTTTAGGTTATTACAAATAATACTGCTATAAATATTCTTGTACAAAATTTTGTAGTGAAATGAGTTTTCATGTCTTTAGGGGTAAATGCCCAGGTTTACAATGGCTGTGTCTTATGGTATTTGAATGTTTAGTTTTTAAGAAACTGCTAAATTGTTTTTTCAGAATGGTTGTATCATTTTATAATCCTACCGCAATGTGATCCAGTTTCTTTCTTTTTTTTTTTAAGATTTTATTTACTTATGACAGAGGGGGAGAGAGAGAGAGAGAGAGAGAGAGAGAGAGAGAGAGAGAGAGGCAGAGACACAGGCAGAGGAAGAAGCAGGCTCCATGCAGGGAGCCTGATGTGGGACTCGATCCCGGGTGTCCAGAATCACACCCCAGGCCGAAGGCGGCACCAAACCGCTGGGCCACCAGGGTTGCCCTGATCCAGTTTCTATACATCCTCTGCAGCATTTGTCACCATTTTGAAAAAAGATTTTATTTATTTATTCATGAGAAACACAGAGAGAGAGGCATAGGGAGAAGCAGGCTCCAGGCTCCATGCAGGGAGCCCACTGTGGGACTCCATCCTGGGACTCCAGGATCATGCCCTGGGCTGAAAGCAGACGCTCAGCTGCTGAGCCATCCAGGCATCCCTGTCACTATTTTTTATGTTAGCCATTCAGATACGTATATGCTGATACCTCATTTAAAAATAAAAAATCACGAATGAAAAAGAAGAGATCACAACAAATACCAAGGAAATACAAACGATTTTTAAAACATATTATGAGCAGCTATATGCCAATAAATTAGGTAATCTAGAAGAAATGGACACATTTATGGAAAACCACAAACTACCAAAACTGGAACAGGAAGAAACAGAAAACCTGAACAGGCCGATAACCAGGGAGGAAATTGAAGCAGTCATCAAAAACCTCCCAAGACACAAAAGTCCAGGGCCAGATGGCTTCCCAGGGGAATTCTATCAAACATTTAAAGAAGAAACAGTACTATTCTACTAAAGCTGTTCCAAAAGCTAGAAAGAGATGGAATACTTCCAAAATCATTCTATGAGGCCAGCATCACCCTAATTCCAAAGCCAAAGACCCCATCAAAAAGGAGAATTATAGACCAATATCCCTAATGAACACAGATGTAAAAATTCTCAACAAGATACTAGCCAATAGGATCCAATAGTACATTAAGAAGATTATTCATCATGACCAAGTGGGATTAATCCCCAGGACGCAAGGCTGGTTCAACACTCATAAAGCAATCAATGTGATAGATCATATCAACAAAAGAAAAAAACAAGAACCATATGACCCTCTCAATAGATGCAGAGAAAACATTTGACAAAATACAGCATCCATTCCTGATCAAAACTCTTCAGAGTGTAGGGATAGAGGGAACATTCCTCAGCATCTTAAAAGCCATCTACGAAAAGCCCACAGCAAATATCATTCTCAATGGGGAAACACTGGGACCCTCTCCCCTAAGATCAGGAACATGACAGGGATGTCCACTCTCACCACTGCTATTCAACATAGTACTAGAAGTCCTAGCCTCAGCAATCAGGCAACAAAAAGAAATAAAAGGCATTCAAATTGGCAAAGAAGAAGTCAAACTCTC